CTCCATACATTATTTTTCTTTGAAACGTTATCTTGAACATTAGGATAAATTCTTTGCATTTGAAATATGCACAAAAAGCTGCATAACTCTGAACCAAAACTTCCTAAAGCTATCCTGAAAGTATAACTTTAACACTAAAAGATATAGAATCTGTTCTTTGCTAATGCTTTTATCATTAAAACAGTTTTTTCTTTCTTTTTTTAATTCTATTAACTTAACTAATGGCATTCTTTATTCCTTGAAATTTAATTTTATACCTGTCAAAAGAATTAAATAATGTTTAATAAAAATTCATCCAACGTCTTCTTCAGAAAAGACATTTAAGAGAAAAAGAAATAACTGAGCCATTCTAGTAGAAGTAGAAAAATAATTTAGAAGCATATGCTTTATGCTGCTGAAAAATAAAGCTAACATGTCGGAATGCATAAGTACGAAAATATTTTTTAAAGAAAAAAAGATCTTGGAATGACGTGATACAAGAGAATATGATATTCAATTATCATGACATGAATATCATTGAATGTCATCTGAACAATATACAATATTTATCAGTTTAAGAGATTTCTTTCCCTTCATTCGTATATATTTTCAACTGTTTTTCCTGTATATTCGTGGGCAACTCAAAGTTTTATATTAATATTTTTAAATTGCTTCTTAAAGAGTAAACGTCAAATGCAGTTCCCATCTTTGTGGGGGAAAGCCTCATTTCTTTATTACTGGTTTTCTTTTAATGGGTTTATAATGAAATAATGTTTTTATGTCACATTCTTGATCTATTTCACGCATATGAAGCGTTGAAAATTATGCATTCAGTAAGGAGAATACATTTTTTTTTAAATTTAATATCTCTAATCATACACGAATTTCCATTATCTGAAATTCCTTTCAGTTTAGAAATTTACCGACTTTTGCAAAGATAAATTTATAAAAAAAGGCTGTTTAGCTCATTTATTTTATATTTGCTAATATCCATAGCTAATATTTGAGGAAATTCTTTGGGTACTTACATATAATTAATTTTAATTTCAGAATAAAAAATACGAAAATTGGGGAAAATGATATTTTTCTTTAAACTTTTAATTTTTTCCTTCATTAAAAATTTTTGCTAAAAATTAAATACAGTTATTCAAATTTTAAATAATTTTTTTGCATTATATATTTTGAATTAGTCCGGCTTGCACTGCACACCTAACGACTACCTCTGCCTAGGGATTATATATGGCGTCTTGAGTTTATTTGTCACTCTTGATAAGAAGTGTGAAATAAGATGATGAACTTTTCGATCTTTGGAAGTTCTACATTTTCATAGTTAAAAATTCGTGTTTAAGGATTTTAGCTCAGTTAAATTAAAACAAAATTGTGTAGTTTTCTTTGTTTTGTCTTTTTTAACATGAATATTATTATTATTCATTTGCATATACTTCAAGCTGTCCTGATTATTACTCGGTAAGCCAATGCCTATCACAATAATATCACTAATATCACCAATATGCACTTTCTTCCTCATACCTTTTTGATCTAAAAAGTCTGATGTTGTACGGAATATTAAATTATACGTATTTTTTCCTACATGTCATTTAAACTTACATAATTGAATTAAATCAGTTTTGTCGATAGCGCATAAACCACAATCGAATAAATGCGCGGTTAATCTTTCATAAGCGTGTTCACCACGAAACTTGAAGAGAGTTTTTATTTGGCGCGATTTCGATTTGGTTGTAGTTTCCGGCTGTATGTTTTCCTGTGACAACCATAGAGCTAATTTCGGTGATTATAGTGAGTGTGAGTTTAGTGTAGCCAGAAGATTTTTTAGAAATTTAATTTTAAAATATTGTGTTTACTTTTAAAAGTTTTACTGTTTAATATTTGCAGGAGGTTAAGCTGTTGTTGGTGGAAGAATGTTGGATTTCAGATGATGTGTAGTTTATAATTTATGAATGTTTTTATTTAGGTTTATTTAGTTAATGTTTTCGTCTCAGTTAATTATTTAGTGTTGTTTCTTGGATGTGTCGACGGAGAGATGTGGAATGTTTAAAGTATTGAGCGAAAGTGGTTTAGTGTGTTAAATTTCATGACGATAGTAGCTTGTATATTTTAGTGAGTTTATGATGCTTCCATTGTTAGTGAATTTAAATATATTTACTTGGTCAACAGTTGTTTGATGCGAGTGAAGAGATATTTCATATGTATTATTTTTGTATTTTTGTAGTACTTCATGTTTGTATTTTTGTAATTTTTAGTTTAATGTTTGAGCCCTGAGTTTTTTGTAATTTATTTTAAATTTATTTGGTACTATTCTGTTTTGAGGGCCGTAAAAAAAATTGCAGCGAAAATGTATGCACAAAAGCTCCAAATCTAGCAAACGCGCCCATTTAACAGCCGCACCAAATCTAGCGTACGCGCTGAATCCAGATTGCGCAAGTTTATATGTTTCTATATTTCTTAAGACGCCATTGAAATACTAATTTAATTTTTGAATTACTTTTTTTTTATTTTAAATCCTTTTTTGATATCCCTATGGATTTAACAATTGGGGGAATTGCCCATGACGGAAAGTCAGCAATAGAACTTTTGGGTAAAGTGCAGAATCATCTCACTGCTTGACGCGTTTTTAAGAACTGCACATACTCGGTATCCACGTGCACATCGACCTATTTTCACTTAAAAAAAATTTTAAAAAAAAAAAAAAAAAAAAAATCTGAAATGTTTCAGATTTTAAATTACGTCCAAAGGGCGTTTTTTTAACATTTTGTGTGTTACCTTTCTTTATTAAATATCATGTTCCTCGCACTTAAACCATAAGATCCAGTGCAACAGCAATATCGCAAAATAGTTTTAAACGAGCATATCTTTAGAATTTCCGATACAGAGACTCACGCGCTGGAGATAAAAATGTTTTATTCCTGCACAACGTTGCCATTGCTCGCTTTGAAATCCTTGAGTTTGTTAATCAAAAATTCGTCAAAGTTTTAAAAAATAGGAAATCGATCAATAAAACAAATTCTCAAATTTCAAATTTGGTCTTCCACATGCTCATATTCGTTGGAGGATTACGTTATTCAAAATTCGGATGACTCTATGTACCGTTATTTTTATGACAATGTGAGAAATATACATACATTTACGCAGATTTTCATTATTTAATTTCTTCAATATAATGCAGGACTCTAACATTTTATATGGCAACAGTTTGAAAAGTGAACCGACATTTATCCGTCCGACGCAAAATGCCAAAACGAAACTAATAGTCCTTCGGGATTCAAATCCCTTTGGACTAAAAAATCCTAGAATTGCAGAAAAATGGCACTGCGCGCACCCTTTATTTTATCTATGCACACATCGAGCTATTTTCACTTAAAACGTAAAAGAAAATTGACAAAAATACATTTGTTTTTACACTTGTACAAAGCGGCGAACAAATAAGTGAGCGATTCTGCACTTTACCGAGAATATTTTCAAAGGAAACGCATCATTCATTATAGAAAACAACCAACGAGATCAAATTATGCTTTAGCGATAAGTCGGTAGCGAAATAGCGATGCAGGCATCCATTCAGTTATGTTTAGCAATTTTTATATAAATTATAATAATGATCTGAAATAGCTATTTACTCTTTTGCTTCCCTTCAGTCATGTTTAGCCTTTTTCATATAAATGATAAAAATAAAAAAGTATTATATAAAATTAACCTTTCATCTAAATTAAAACATCAATCTTAGTTATTTACTATTATAAGTAGTAGGCAGAGTAATTCGTGCGGCGGAAAGTGACGTCACAGAAAAGGGGCGTGGCCTAGACAGCCGCCAGTTGGATCCGCCATCCGCCATTTGGATCACGTGACTGCCATCCACCATTTTGAACCACGTGGTTTTTCGTCCGCCATTTTGAACACGTGGTCTTTCATCCTCCATCTTGAATGACTCCCGCCAAGCTTTAGTCGCCGCCATGTTGGATTATTTTTTAATCTAATTTTCTTTCTAATTACTTATTAAATTAATTAATGTTTTATTTAATTTAAATTATTTATTGAATTATCTTCGAATAGCCGCCATTTTGAATCACGTGGTTTTATTTTTTTCGCTGGAGAGCGCAGATTCAAAAATCACCAGCCAGGCCCGAACCCGCTATGTCGGGATCTGCAGCCACGCGCTTTAACCGTTAACCGCTGAGCCACGGTTTACTTAGCGACGAGGTATAAAAATGGGTACTTGTAAAAAAAATGACAAAGCGTTCACGTGTGTTTCACATCCCTTTTATTTATTTTTTCTTTTTCTATGTGTTAATTTATTTTTGTTCATTTGGAGTTTTTAATTTTTCTTAATGAATATTTTTAAATTAGAAAATTAATGATTTTTTTTTTCAATACATTTTTCTAAGTGGGTGATTTCATTTCTAATGGGAAGAATGTTTTCAAAATCATTTTATTATTTTGCAGCGAATGAGTTAAAAACGGTATTTTTTTTTAAAACATTATTGGATTTTCTTAAATACATGTTGCTGCTGGCGCCATCTAGTGTACATAACATCTACTAAAGTTAACAGGATGGTTAAAAAAATGAAGAAGTAATATATATTTTCTTTCCACGGGAAATCGAACCCGCTGTCCCCGCAAAAATGAATAAAAAGGAATTGAGGGGGACCACATCCAGTACTTTAGGCGATACCCCCCAATTCCTTGGTTGAAATGGTTCTTAATTATGTATATAAGGTTTGAAACGCCATCTTGGATTGAACGCCATCTTACTCTGAATCCGCCATTTTGAAAGATTTGCTTTGGGGAGAATGACATCACCCATATCATGTTTGTGCATGACTTTGTTCGAAAATGGCGTCTGCCTTTTCACTCCTCCTTTGGGTAGACATCCGCATAGGCGAACGAATACGTTTCTGTGGACCAATCAGAAAGCTGAAAAATGATATCATGGTCTCTTAGCCTAGTAGAGTAATGGAAATTCCCTCGTGTTGTATGCTGCAACTTCAGTCCTGCCCTTACCTCGCTTTGGTGTTGACGTGATTTTTTATCTTGGCGTAAACGTATACGTTTGTATCCCGCATTTCTTCAAGATGACCGACAACAAGAGAAAAGCTTCGGACACTGCTATGGATTCCTGTAAGAAACTGAAGGAGGTGGAAACTACTAAGGTAAGTGTATTGTTTTGATGTTATTTTAGTTATTGTGATTTTTTATCTTGTTTCTGTGTAAAAAAAAATGTTTTTTACGTATACTTACTTCTTTCAGAACACTGGTGTAATATTAGAAGATGAGATTCCGGATGGAGTGTTTTACCTTGGAGACTGTGTTTTCGTGTTTCCTTCAACGTTCAACGGGCATACATCAGTCCATATTCGTCGCTACAAGAAATATGGTAAAAAGTTCTACCCAACACGCGAAGGTGTTACTATCAGGCCATCGCTAATACCGATCGTTATACAGCGCCCCGAAATACCACGATCAAAGACCGATCTCGAGTTCTTGCCAGAGAACGAAATCACAATTGAAAGTTCCGATTTTCAAAAGTTTACCTTCACACAGATCAAGAAAACACATGACGGACAATGTTTTTCCAAATCCCTCATCATCACGGGAAGCCAATGGAAACAGATGATAAAACAGTATTGTGCTATCTCTACGGCCGTTGCAGATGAAGTTTATTCGTCCATAGACTTTTTTGAGGTGTACAAAAATATACAGGACCTACCTACAGATGAAGATCTGCCCAGTTCTCTGGATGTAAGTCTTGGACAGCACTACCTTTTAGATATCCTTGAAAAGTCTTTTCGGAAACTCTTAACCACGATGCCCGATAGATTTTTGAAAGAACCCGAAACGTGCGCCGAAGAAGTTATTGGAAATCGTATAGAAACATTCAACAATATAGCTTTGTTTCAGAACGTGCAAGAACTGGTACACATTTTTTATGATAACTTGTGGGAACGTACACAATTTCTAGCTCTGAGACCTCACGATTACTTGACGCACAACTTTCTGAAAAACGTTTGTATGAAAGATGTCCTACAGAAAAGTAGGAAATATTTTTGTCCTGAAAATGTGAGTGAGTACTTTGAAGATTTAATGTAATGAAATATCTGTGTAAATATTTTAAAGGTGCCCTCGAATAAAAAAAAATTTTGTCATGTTACATTCTTTGTTTTTATTTCACACATTTTTTTTTCACAGTGTATGTTTTCTGTAAGGTTTTTAGGTGATTGCTACCAATGGATGAGTACATAAAGGTAAGAGAATTTTATTTTAGTTATGACGAACCATTCTGATGCAAAGTAAGTTATTTTTTTACCGTAGCTTAATTTTTTCTTTTCTTTTCGTACCTATCCCTAGAGGTATATAAGACACCCATTTTATATTCGCCCATCATTTAGGATGGCGTTCTCAAAAGAGGAGGTTGTTTTTGTGCTCCTGTATTTTTTCTTAATTTTCGTTATGTACATTCTGTCCGAAACTGTATTCGGAATAAAATTTCCCAAAGATATTTTAATACGGTTAAATGAATCACTTAACTTATCAAATAGGTTTAATCATACATCATGGCGGATGAACTAAACTCATTTTATAAAACGATCCACAAGTTCCCGGTAGTTTTGGCGGCATCAACACGTTACATCGCGCCTTGAAAGGTAAAGTGAAAACGCAAAAGATTAAGAAATGGTTACAAACAAAAGATTCATATACTTTACACAAACCTTTGAGACATAAATTCACAAGAAACCGTGTGATTGTCGGAGGATTGAATGAGCAATTTCAAGCAGATTTGGTGGATATGCAGTCTCTTGCAAAGGCAAACAAGGGTGTTAAATATATCTTAACCTGCATAGATATTTTTTGTCCAAATACGCCTGGGCGATTCCTCTCAGGGATAAAAAAGCAGAAAGTATTGTTGCTGCTTTTCAAAAAATCTTTTCGGAACGAACCCCACAAAATTTACAAACGGATGATGGAACGGAATTTAAGAACTCACTTTTACAAAAATATCTGAAAAAGAAAAAAGTTCATTTCTTCACGACCAACAATGAAACAAAAGCCTCCATTGTGGAACGTTTTAATCGGACACTTAAGACCAAAATGTGGAAATATTTTACGGAAATGAATACAAAAAAATATATTGACGTCTTAGATAAATTCATGTACAGTTATAATCATACGTGGCATCGCAGTATAAAAATGGAACCCATTTCTGTCTGTCACAGAAGAAAATCAACACAAAGTATGGCAAACATTATATGGTGAATCGACTGTAAAGAAAGAAATCCCCCCAGATTTCAAAATTGGAGATACGGTGCGCATTCGTCGCGATAAATTGCATTTCGAGAAGGGGTATGAACAAAATTGGACAAGAGAAATATTTACCATTCATCAGATTGTGCCTAGAACTCCCATTGTCTACAAACTGAAAGATTTAGCGGGAGAAGATATACAAGGAACCTTCTATAAGCAAGAGTTACAAAAAATAGCGGACTGTGGGTACTATCCTGTCGAAAAGATACTGAAGACTAGAAAGCATCGTGGAAAATCAGAATACTTTGTTAAATTTCAGGGTTACCCTGAAAAATTTAATACTTGGGTATCAAATTTAAAAATGATATAAAAACGTGTGCATTGTATTTACTTTTCATTTGAACGAAAATGTCCTTCTACTTAACACTCATAAGCGATAGCTCTAGAAAATTTTTTCCAGACAATAAAATTTCTCGATTTATTACCCAACTTCCATCTCCTATTGAGCTCAGCAATGGGGATTGGGAACTTGCGCTCCTAAATATTATTTATCCACATTCTTGGTATAACGTCGGAAAAGATAACAATTTATTTGGTTTTGCTGTCGACAATGGAGAACTAGAAGGAAGGCGTATTCCGCCTGGTTATTATGAAACGATACCTGACATATTAAAAGCCATGACTTTAGCTTCACATAAAAATAAAATTGAATTTTCTTATCATGACATTACGAAAAGAGTGACGATAAAGACGGATGAACAATCAAAAGTGGTTCTTCACACGAAGGATTAGCTGAGCTCTTAGGATTTGAACCGGGTGTTTACAAAAGGAAATGTCCAAAGTCCTTTCGTAGCGAATCCGAACGGTTTTTTTCCCCGTTATGTACGTATACTACTGTGATTTAGTTGAACCACAAATCGTAGGAGATGTACAAGCTCCCCTTTTGAAAATTGTAACAGTGGAAGGGAAGGACGGAGAGATAATTGACAAACATTATTCTCGACCTTTATATTTACCAGTGATTCGTCAACATTTTCAAACGATTGAAATCGAAATAAGGTCTCATTCGGGGAGTCTGGTTCCATTTGAAAGAGGTAAAGTTTTCATAGTGCTCCATTTTCGTTTGAGACAGATTCTATAAAAAGCTTCAACAAAGGGAAAAATATTCATTTATAGCGTAAACGTTCTAGAAGCTGTATCAAAATGCTCGTTCCATATGCTTGTTGCACCAAGGACTTTGAGGATTATTATGTGGGACAAACTGGAAAGGGTCTGCCGTATTATCAGGGAATGGTTTTACAGAAAGGATACGGAATAGGTGGATTTTTTGCGAAACTTTTCCGTAGCGCCATGCCTTTTTTAATTAAGGGAGCAAAAACTGTTGGAAAAGAAGCTCTACGTACAGGAACGCAAATTGCAAGCGACGTGTTATCGGGGGAAAAATTTAAAACATCCCTCAAAACCAGATCTAAAGAAACTGGGAAAAAATTAGCAAAGAAAGCAGTTCAGAAAGCAGATGAGATGATTGGTCACGGAAAGTTTAAAAGGAAGCGCAAGTCTCCCAAACGCTTCATTTCATCTAAAGCCAGGAAAGTGCAACGACGTGATATTTTCAACTCATAATGGCATTCCTTTTAAAAGATTCACCAGAATGCGCTAAATCTGAACTTAATTTATTTACATTACCTCCAACCCAAACAGTTATAGAAAGAGGACAATGGATAGAATTTCATCCCCTTGCGAATGTGACAGATGGAAGTCCTGTCGAATTCAATGTCGCGGGTAGTGGTGACGACTATTTGGATTTATCTCAAACTCAGTTATATGTCAAAGTTAAAATTTTAAAAAGCAATGGCGCCTCGGAAAAGATGATAAGGTAGGACCCGTGAACTTGTTTTTGCATTCCCTCTTTTCTCAAGTGGATATCAGCTTAAATGAAAGACTTATTTCCTCTAGCAATAACACTTACCCTTACAGAGCCATGATAGAAAAACTACTTAATCATGGTTTTGATACGAAAACTTCTCAATTATCATCAGAATTATATTTTAAAGATACTGCGGGTCGTATGAATGTGTTTGATACCACTGATAAGCAACCTAATGAGGGATTCAATAAACGCGCAGAAATATTTAAACTTAGTGCTACAGTGGATATGATTGGACGGTTACACCTAGATATGTTTCATCAAGAAAGACTTTTGTTGAACATGGTCGACATGAAAATTAAACTTATCCGCAGCAAACCGGAATTTTGCTTATTGGGAGAAGAGAATTTTAAAGTGTCGTTGGAACATGTCTCACTATTTGTACGCAAAGTGCGAGTCAGTCCAGGTGTAATTTTAGGACATGCAAAAAGTTTAGAAAAAGCGACAGCAAAATATCCTATCAACCGAGTGCTTTGCAAAGTGTATTCTATTCCATCAGGAAATATGAGTTTGTCCAAGATAGTATTTTTACTGGTCAGATGCCTAAACGCTTAATTATTGCTTGCGTTGATAACGATGCTTTCAATGAAAACTATAAAAAGTCTCCCTTTGAATTTAAGCACAATCATATCAATTTTATTGGCATTTACGTAGATGGGCAACCTGTGCCTCATAATCCTCTTCAACCTGATTTTATGAATAAAACCTTCATTCGTGCCTATCAGAATTTATTTACCAATGCTGAAAACCGGGGATTGTATCTTTCGAGATCAGAATATCCAGAAGGATATTGTTTATTTCTTTTCGATCTATCACCTGATTTGTGTGATGGGTCTCATTTGAATTTAGTGCGTCATAGTAATTTGAGACTGGAGGTAAAATTCGGTTTTCCTCTGCCAATAACAACATCGGTAATAGTCTATGCAGAATTTGAAAATTTAATAGAAATCAATAAATCTAGAAATATCATCTACGATTTTGGTAACTAATGAATTCTCTGCAGATCCATCGAATACTCTCTCGAGATCCTCGTTCTCAGAGACATTTTAAAGGAGTTTTTCCCTCGGACATAATTCCAAAGCTTCAAAGTTTCCCAGCTGCAATTGTGATCAACACGGATAAACATGACGAGACAGGAACGCATTGGTTAGCTATCTACATGGAAAACAAAGAGACTGTCGAATTTTTCGATTCCTTTGGTTTACCACCCGAAACCTATGGAGAAGATATATCCAGATACATCGAGACGTTTCATCATGTTTTATGGAACCCAATACCCCTTCAAAGTCCAACGTCCAATGTGTGTGGACAATTTTGTATTTATTTTATTGTAAAGCGATGTCAAGGATTTTGTATGAAGATTATTGTAACTCCACTAGCTGGAAAGAAAAATGATTTTAGAATGTATCAATTTGTGAAAAAATTATATGCTGTAAATATAATTTTTAAAAAATAAAAAAATGTAATTTTAATTTTCTGTGTTTGTCTTTTGCTTATGTATTTATACTTACATCCAACAACAAAAAAATAATAATAAACTTTTTTAAGCTAAGAAAAATGATTTTTTTTCCCTTCACTTTTCAAAAAATAAAGATTTTTTTCTTTCTTTACCTGCTGTAAAAAAGAAAAATAAAATACACATGAAGTGAAAGAAATTCACTATTTATTGAAAAAAGCTATATTAAAAAAAAATTTACAATTAAAGATGAATCCACTTTGTGGAACCTTTTCCATACATAAGTCTTGGTTTTTTTCTTACAGGTAAAGCATACATTTGCCGTTTCTCGTGTAAATTGGGATTTTTTACAAAAGTTTCAGGAAAGTTGGTTTCTTTAAGCGTCGATTGAAACTGCTCAAATCCTGGTGGCTTCATTTTCTTATTACGTATCAGATGTGAAATGAGGACTTCAATGTTTGTATGGGGCAGAACATTGCCGTGCAAAACCAGTTCTTTAGCAGGCGTCCATGAAAAAACATCTGGACGACTTTTTAAAAATAATAAAATGTTTTCGGCCACTTTCTTATGCTTGACAGGAGCCGATTCCATAATAGCTTCAGAAATATCAGGAGGTTGTTTGTCGATAATTTTTGACTCTTCGGTAACGGGTTGTACTTGATTCATCTCCGGGAACTTTACAAATTTTTGAAGAATTTGTAGGTATTGTGTTGCCTTTTCAGAGTCTGGAATTTTCTTGGACAGGATAGCCTTCATTTCTCGATCCAATTCCGATACATGATCCTCTGAAAAATTTGTGCTCGATCCAATGGCATTAGGATAAATTTCTTAGCGTGATCCATGGAAAAGGGATCCTAGTAGAGACACGGCTGCAGGTAAGAGGAGTGACAAGAAACCGTCACCTTTTTGAACGAGGAGTTTTCTCTTCTTAAACAGAGGAACTCTTTTATCTCCCAGTCGACGTAACGTCCTTTTGTAAGGAGCTAATCTGCTCTTCTGACGTTTTGAGATGGGTACATTTCCTTTTAAAACATTGAGGGCACATTCGCATACAGCTTTGATGACACTATTAGGACACTTTTGCAGCAATTGTCTTTTGACTTTAGACTTTTGCAAAAGTTTGAGCTGCTCTAATGGGAGGTGTGTATGCGACGACATATCGAACAAATAATGATACTTGGATTTAAAACGTGGAGCTATTTATACTGGATACAAATTAGCAAAAGCTGCGGCTCTGTGTAGAGCGCAGTAATGAAACTGCGGCGCGTGAAAGGGACAATTCACGGTAGGTATCTGCAATTTGTCGATTTTAGGACAATCCAGATCATTTAAGTTCAAAATATTTAATCCGGAAAGCTTTTTCAAAAATTTGGCTTTCTCTAATCCTTTGACGTAGATTTCATCATACGAGGCAAACAGGGACATGAGAACGCTCCTAAGTGCTGTATAGGGCAATTTGCCACTTTCCCAGGGCATGTTATGGACATTGCGGATAACCCACGCGTAGGTCTTCTGTTTACGGGGCGATAGGATTTCCCAAGATTGCGGAGGCTGAAAGGACCACCGACCGTGATAACCATGCTGCACATCGTAAAAGGCTAATTCCTTCACTACGAAGGAATGGGGTGACAATTGAAAGCCCTGAAAATCGATGACGACTGCAGACATGTTTCCTTCTTGCAGACAAGATAAGAACTGATTAACGCGGTTCGTATACATAGTGTTTATCTCCCGGAAAAATACCCGTGCGCATGCGCAAGCGTTCGCCTGTCATAGGATGAAAATCCAAAAGCAGATATCCAAAGGAGGGGCTTGTGGCGTCGTGAAAAATTTCCTGAAAGGATTTGTTTTTACCTGGAAACATCTGTCTGGCTAAATGAATCACCTGACTTTTGTCCCTTGGATTCTTGAAGAGCACTAAATAATGGGAATTTAAGTTTATATTGCGCATTTCCCTTCCCTGGTGAAATAAATTCTGAACAATAAAAATGATGGAAATATTTCGATGATGACTGCCCTTTGTAAATAAGTTGCTCAAACGCGTATCATTACCTAGCTCGGACATTAAATCATCTACTATAACAAGGGCATTTTCAATAGTATTCAAGTAAGAAGGTAGGCCTTCTTCGAAAACGACACCTTTTATAGTATTGAATAGGGGCTGAAATGCTCCGTAGCAATAAATAATTTTTTCAGGCATGGGCGAAAACATGCTATGATCTATTAGTTTTTTAACGAAAACCGACTTGCCCGAACCCGTAGGGCCACTGACCAGACAGGTTGAAGGGTGAACCAATCTCGGTAGTTCCATTATTACAAATAAAAATAAAGTGAGACTTACCTTTCTTTATATACAAGATGAAGGGGTCGGGAAACATTAATTTTTTTTCTTTTCCTTCATTGGATGTCAACTTCTTATAAAAGCGTGTAATTTTTTTAATGATTATTTGGTGGCCCTGAAAAGGACCTTTTTTTTTATTATTTGGTGGCCCTGAAAAGGACCTTTTTTTATTATTTGGTGGCCCTGAAAAGGACCTTTTTTTATTATTTGGTGGCCCTGAATAGGGCCTTTTTTTCTTTTTTTTTTTTTTTTTCTTTTCTTTTTCTTCAGGGCAAGACATTTTGTAATCGACAAAGAACCCTAAAAATCAAGTGTTGAACAAATTAATACATGCAATAATGTCATACATTTTAAATTTTACCAATATAAAATGAATAAAATAAAACTTACGAAGCTTTTCTAATAACCGTAGGGAAGGGTGGTCAAGTCCGATTGTATTACTCTTTTGTCGTAAACCACTCTGTATAACTTTTTCTCAACCTTATTGACGACTTTTCTTCTCTTCGCCTCACGGCATATTTTCATCGGGTTTTCAATTTCGATGGTGGTTATACTAGGATCCAAGCTACATACCAGACTCTTCACCGATTCAAAATTAAGTAGCTGAGAATTCCGAAAATTTAAGGTGAATCCACGCACTTTGCAACAAGTTTTACCAGCTTCGGTTTCAAACGCATAATTTTTCGGACCACCTGGGAAAAAAAACATATATATATATGTGTGTGTGTGTGTATACACGTATAGCCTGAGAATTATAATTTATGTAATATAAGTTTTTTATCAGTGTGAAAAAAAGTTTCTTACCAGATACAAATTTAGTAATTGTATCCCCATCTAATTCATCCGTGAATTCACCCAAAAAATTTCCAATGGGTGGGTCGTTATTACCGTCTTGGGCGTAAATTATACTATCAGTGTCGTGATATAATACTGCGCGATCTAATTTCTCCATTTCGGAGTATAATTTTAGTCGAGCCCAAGCAGTGGTAAATGCCGCTAAGAACACATTTGTAGTTGTGTCTTGAGATACAAATTTGTCAGTTTTTTCCCACCATATGGCTGCCACTTCTTCATTAGGAAAACAAACATCTTTAACCTAAATAATAGTAAATAAAATAGATTTAAAAAATTCACATTTTTTTTAACCTATGGAAAAAAGTTAAAAATAGATAAAACTTACATTCTTGGTAGAGTCATGCAGAATCTTATTGAACTGTGGCACAGAATTCACAAATGTTAATTGCACTTTGTTTATATTCATCCCCCAACTGAAAAAAAAGTAAACAGTTTAGTTTAAGAAAAAATAGTGATTCATTTTTTTATTTTGAGGAAAAAAATAAAAATGAAAGTACGTACCGCCCCCAGAAACTATTCAATGCTAATTTGGCAACTTGTCGCCTACCGGGATTTTTTGCAATTTCTAAGGAATCTAGACGAATACCCTCTTTTTGTAAATATTCCTTAATGTAGCTCTCCTTTTGCTCTTCTGACCGACATTCTGCAGGCCATCCGCTGCTCTCCTGTTTTATCTTCAAAAATAGATCAATATAAGATTTGAATAACGAAGTTGAAGTCTCTTCAAAATGATATACCTCGTAAACCTAAGTAAAAAAAAAAAGTAAAAGGATTATTATTATAAAAAATTAATTGAAATATTTTTTTTTCAAATAAATAGGAAAAAGAATATAGAATCTCACATTGGTTACTTGATATCCTTTCCGGATCGCAAGTTTGACTTCCTCCGCAACCCATGTGCCTATTAGGGCCCGTTCCTCCGGCGTGTGACGGCATGTACTTTGTTGGAGGTTTTCAGCGCAGCTTCGACATAATGGAAACAATAGTTTCCCATTACATCTGTGAGGAAGGACTGGTAGATATAGTTCCCTTGGTGGGATAATTCTACATTTTACGATTCCGAAGTATTTTTCAATGTCTTCAAAGTTTTCTGTAATGATCTTCGGATGACCAACTGGATAAACACAGTATTTGTTGACCTTGGGGAAAAAAAAACTTTGTAAACAGTTTGCCTATTTATACAAGAATAAATTTAAAATTAAGGGGATATCATACCCAAGGATACAACGAAGTGAAATCCACATATTTGGCACTGCCTTCGTAATATAGCTTCACTGCATTTGTTCTCCCACCGAAGAACGCGTCCCTAGGATTTAGGCGATCCTGGAGCCCGTGGGTTTCAAGAAAGGTCTTGAGAGTGTCACTTGTTTTTTTTTTCTTTGATAAACTGGTGCTCCCACATTTCTACTACGGTAAAACCCAAGGCTTGGAGTTTCGCAGTCTGTTCCTTCGTCTGGCGAAGAAGAACCCCCATTGCTACACCCTTGAGTGGTTGTTTCACGTCAGCATCATAGCATACATCGCACCCATGATAAAAGCATCCCTGGAAAAAAAAATCATTCAAAACAAAACAGGTAAGAAAAAAAAAAAGAATCAATATAAATAGACTACTTACATGAAACTGATAAATTGTCTTCTTTTCTTCACAAAACCCATCTACGGAAACTCCACCTATTTTACATTCACCGTATCCATTGAGAGCATGTTGGATTTTTATATTTTCTGTATAAGCCACATAGTCCAACCATCTAATACCGTCAACACTGTAATTGGTTTTATTCGTATATCCATAAACGGGGACCATGGATATGGTCTCTGGTTTTATGTGCATGTTTCTGTAAACGGCCATGCATGCGGAAGCTATTGTTACATACCTAAGGGGGGAGGAAGGGTGAAAATAGTAAGAAAAAATGACTATACATCGGAAAATAACAACAATAATAAATATGAGGAAGAAAACTTACCGAAATGGATCAACATTGGAAACATTCAGAAACTGACTTCGAAATGCCAAACAGCATCGACGCAAAATATCCACATCGGATCTGTAAAAAAAAAAAAAAATAGAATTTATTATTATTTACTTTTAATCAAAAATAAATAAAATAAAATAAATTCATAAAAGAGTTACACACCTGCAATATGCCAAAATTTCAGCTTGAAAATCAAATTCATCATCTTTGTGTTCTTCATACCAAGATAAAAATGCTTTTCGCACAGATGGCATCATAGTATCTGGCCTGTAATAATCGACTTTTGGAAGAGGTCCAACATATGTTTGATTCTCTCGCGTATTAAATAAGTGCGGAAAGAACCCTTTTTTTAACTCGGTGAGACCAAAGCATTGTGGAAGTTTGGCTAACGCCATCGGTAAAAAATTCAGAGAGTCAATCACTCTGATATTGAGGGTCTTATGATAGATACTCATTAGCAAAGATCCATTTGGTATAACTTCTGGAGTTAGGCCTTGTTCTAAAAGCCAAGACATTATAAATTGGCCATCAAAACTGTAAATAAATAAATAAATAAAAATGTTAACAACGAAAACATTAAAAAACAAAAAAATCTTATACAGAAATAACATTATAAACATGTAAATGAACTTACCCCTTCATATTATGAGCGATAGCCGTAAATCCTTTGTGGTTAGGAGCAAAAAGCCAAGCACAAAAGTCCTGGCAGGCTGTATACCCCTTAAACACTTGTTCTTGGCCGTCTGCATACTGTGCTACAGCAAGGTTTACCACATGTTCACCCGAGGTCTGATCAGTCTCAAAGTCAAAAAAGATGTGCAGGTCTGAGGGGTCCTTTGGCTCCGTTTTTCCCAAAAAGCATTGGTGTTCGCCCGCGACCACATATTTCTTACAAGAATTACATATCGTGGTACCACAGCGATGATTTTCCCGTGGACATTTACGACGCTGTATAACCTGGCAACATTTTCTGCATTGATATATCTTAAAAAAGAGAATATTACATTTCATTAATTTCAATATCATGTGAAGAAAGAAAAAAGAAATATTGAATACATAAAACACACTCACTAGATCACAGAATGAAAATATCTGTTGTCCCCTAACTGACTTATGGAAATCAAAACAATCACTTGACCTGCAAAGACGGTCACAATCTGGACATCTCTTCATTTCACCTGGAATACACTCTGATCGATTGCAAATATTGCAGGCATTTGGGCAATGGTGGTCTTCTATGTTATTAAATGGCTTCTCACATTCTTCACAATAGTGATTCGAAGCATAAAATGCTTTCAGGCACTTGATCACATCAAAATGGTTATTGTGTAGCCACAGATTGATGCGTCGTGGCCTTCGAACACCTTTGTAAGAAACCTATAATAAAGGTAGGAATAAAAAGAAACATTAAAAAAAAATCACTTTCAAAGAAAAATTAAACATCACTTAAATAGTCGTGGCCTTCGAACACCTTTGTAAGAAACCTATAATAAAGGTAGGAATAAAAAGAAACATTAAAAAAAAATCACTTTCAAAGAAAAATTAAACATCACTTAAATAATAATAAAAAATACCTTATTCATATTTTCAGACGAGATAACAGCAATCTGTACATTCAAATGCTCTTCAAATACTGAAATTTCCGAATAGGTGCAGGCACCTAACGGAACACCAGCTTCCTCGTGGAGACTGCTCTTCATAAGAGCGGGACGCCCGACTGTCTCGCATACTATTTATCGCAGATTTATCGTTTTCCAAATGAGCCAATGCGAAAACAATCGATTTCGCGCAACAGAGTCCTATATCATCCTCAGGTATGTGAAGAATTGACTTCTTTCTCAGCCGGTCAACTTCAACATTTACTACTTTTCGAATACGACTAGGGCCTCGACCAAGATCCCTTGAAATCGTTAGAACATCTACTGTACTGTAAAGCCCTCATCCAAGACAATCTGATCTTTTGATTGTAATACTTTTACTACTTCCGATGTAACTTTCTCAACAGTCATTTCTGCAACAGACATTAACTTCGTTGAAATGGGTTTATCCAACCCGTTAGCGTGTATGCAGAAACGAATTAGATCGGACGATCTTAAGCCATTAGTAGTGCGTTGAATTAAAGCCATGAACAAAGCTCTTACAGCATTCACGGCTGCAAAGAGGGGCGTTTGCTGCAAACTTTCAGGTAATTTTTCGCAGTCAATCCTTGCTTTATAGGAAATTTCTTCTCCCTGGTACTTCTTATTTTTTCTGCGCGACCGCTCTTCGAGAGATAAACAGAATTTTGAACCTTAAAAAAAGGAAGAACATGAGGAAAAAGGCATGCGTAAAAGAGGTAATAAAAAAAAACGTAACTTACATCTTCTCGAATTACATCCGCGACAAATGTTTTGCCATCACCTGAAGGACCAGAACGAATCTGGAAAAATAAACATAAAGTGAAATAACCAGGGAAAAAATAAGGCAAGCAAAAATACACAGAGAATAAAATATAAAGTACGTTGATCATATACCTCAAATCCTGAGCCTACTTGATAATAGAGAGGGAGAAATAAGGTATCGTCCTCTTCTGCAAAATCTTGAGTCATTTCACCTATTAACTTTGGGGAAAAGGTACTTATAGTTTTTTTTTTTAAAATACAAGAAAAAAACAATGTAAATAAAAAGTAATAAAAACCTTACTTCATCAGTATCTTCTACAAAATCTTGAGTCGTTTCACCCATTATCTTTTAAGGAAGGAACAGAAATTAGTTTTTTTTTTTTTTTTGTAGAGAAAAAATACATTATAAATAAAAAAAGTTGTAATAGTAATAATAAATCTTACTTCCTCTATGTCTTCCTCAAACTCTTGTGTCATTGCACCCATACACTAAAGTAAAAAACATTAATTAGTACCACGTGTATAACTAACCTCCTATTGCAGTATTTCATAAATATCATAAGTAACTCTGTAACAAAATACATTATAAATAAAAAAAAGTTGTAATAGTAGTAATAAATCTTACTTCCTCTATGTCTTCCTCAAACTCTTGTGTCATTGCACCCATACACTAAAGTAAAAAAATTAATTAGTACCACGTGTATAACTAACCTCCTATTGCAGTATTACATAAATATCATAAGTAACGCTGTAACAACAATAATTAATTAATTGCAACAGTTTTGTATACTAGATAATTGAAAAAAATATATATATATATATAACTTACATCATCATCTTCTGAATCGAGAGAAAATTGTGAATCCAGAAAAATAACCTGAGTGAATTTAAGAAATAATTAAATATATATGTATAAGGTAAATTAATAAACTTAAGTATAGTTTAAAGAAAGAAAATGTAAGACTTACATTCTTAGAACCCTTGTGTTTAGATAACGACATATTTCACACAAAGTACTAACTAATATGCTGTTAATAATCACGTGTAATCACACAAGAGCAAGGCAAAGGTTGTACTGAAGTTGCAGCATACAACACGAGGGAATTTCCATTACTCTACTAGGCTAAGAGACCATGATATCATTTTTCAGCTTTCTGATTGGTCCACAGAAACGTATTCGTTCGCCTATGCGGATGTCTACCCAAAGGAGGAGTGAAAAGGCAGACGCCATTTTCGAACAAAGTCATGCACAAACATGATATGGGTGATGTCATCCTCCCCAAAGCAAATCTTTCAAAATGGCGGATTCAGAGTAAGATGGCGTTCAATCCAAGATGGCGTTTCAAACCTTATATACATAATTAAGAACCATTTCAACCAAGGAATTGTGGGGTATCGCCTAAAGTACTGGATGCGGTCCCCCTCAATTCCTTTTTATTCATTTTTGCGGGGACAGCGGGTTCGATTTCCCGTGGAAAGAAAATATATATTACTTCTTCATTTTTTTAACCATCCTGTTAACTTTAGTAGATGTTATGTACACTAGATGGCGCCAGCAGCAACATGTATTTAAGAAAATCCAATAATGTTTTAAAAAATACCGTTTTTAACTCATTCGCTGCAAATAATAAAATGATTTTGAAACATTCTTCCCATTAGAAATGAAATCACCCACTTAGAAAAATGTATTGAAAAAAAAATTAATTTTCTAATTTAAAAATATTCATTAAGAAAAATTAAAACTCCAAATGAACAAAAATAAATTAACACATAGAAAAAGAAAAAAATAAATAAAAGGGATGTGAAACACACGTTGAACGCTTTGTCATTTTTTTACAAGTACCCATTTTTATACCTCGTCGCTAAGTAAACCGTGGCTCAGCGGTTAAAGCGCGTGGCTGCAGATCCCGACATAGCGGGTTCGGGCCTGGCTGGTGATTTTTGAATCTGCGCTCTCCAGCAAAAAAATAAAACCACGTGATTCAAAATGGCGGCTATTCGAAGATAATTCAATAAATAATTTAAATTAAATAAAACATTAATTAATTTAATAAGTAATTAGAAAGAAAATTAGATTAAAAAATAATCCAACATGGCGGGAGTCATTCAAGATGGAGGATGAAAGACCACGTGTTCCAAAATGGCGGACGAAAACCACGTGGTTCAAAATGGTGGATGGCAGTCACGTGATCCAATATGGCGGCTGTCTAGGCCACGCCCCTTTTCTGTGACGTCACTTCCGCCGCACGAATTACTCTGCCTACTACTATTATACTTCCTTTTGCCGCAATTATTAGGGTTGCCGCAATTATGTTTGGCAGCATTGGCATCAACAATAGTTTGGCGATTTTTTATGGCCCTCGAAACCGAATAGTACCATTTATTTTTTAGCTTGTAGTAATTTATACTTGTAGTATTTAGCGTTATTTTCGTTTTGCGATGTTAGATTTTAAATTGCCGTTTCTTTTTGCAACTGGTAACTGCGAAATGAAACGGCGATGACAAGTTCGACATCGCAAACGAAAAGAGTTTCGCGCCAAATTTGTTTGGGGCCTATTTACCTCGCTTATGGAAGATTAGCAAATTGTTTTAAAATTTAATATATTTATTTACCACAGCGATACTCTGGCACTAGATTCACTTAACAGCTTTGCATCTCATTTATTTTATAACTCAGAATGCAAAAACTTTTTATCATCTGAAGAATTATCTAATCATTGCCACATGTTCTGTTCAAATATGATAATAAATCAAAAATGATGTATAAAAGAAATTAAACAAATGAAAAATAAAGTGTTTCACAGACGATTCAGCGCTGCTTACCTAATGCGTATGCGCTACTCGTAAACATTCTCCTCTCTCCGAAACAGAATGGCGACAGTACTTTCTGATAATATGAAACACTTATTTTCTCAAATTTCATTAGAGGTGTATTTCTCATTCAATTAATTCAGTTCTCAGTTCACGGCAAGGCAAGAAATAATAAAAGCTCAAAATATCTTGATTAAAAATTGAAAGATGTAGAAAAACATAAAACACAGTTAAAAAGTTAAAAAAAATGTTTTTACAAATAAAATTACAGTTTCTACGCAAAGCCAAGCAATTCGGCCAGCGGGCAAGAAGACTGATTTTTCGGTGCTCAAAACTGAAAGTTTACTTTTGTTCTCACTCGGCAAAACGACACTGAAGGCGTAGAAACTGATTTAATTAGTTGTGGACGCTATGCTGAGTTAATATATGACATAATTTAATAACTTAAATGATAAGTCCTGAATGTGTTAAGCATCATTAAATTCGCAATAATAAAAGAAAAAGAAATTTCAACGTTCCGAGGCTATTCGTTTTTGAGTTATGTGAGATACATGCATACACACTTACGTACGTACAGACGCCACAAAAAAAAAATCTCTTCTGAATCCATTTTAAATCAGTTTTATAACTCGTTTGAGGAAAAAGAGTGCTTTATTTTGCCCTTACGTACAGATATCTTGCAAAAGCATCGTTAAATCGCATTCGATAGGAATCAAAATGGATATTTTCGTTGAAATATGGTACCCGTAAATTTTTGTAATTACAATTCTTCCTTTAATTCGTACTAGGAAGTAAAATACTATAGGAAGATTAACAATAGATAATGAGCAGTTTACTAGTAAATCAGCAAAATCATTCAACGTAACTTTCTTCTTCTTTCTGGTTATAAAATCTGATTAACAGTTCCACATGAGCTTCTTTCTTAAATTTGGCTATATCTGTGAACCTAAGCGTTCATCCTTCATTTTCACATAAAAATGATAATGATCATGATCATGATAAGAAAACGCTGCTTTTTACAGTT